GTGGTGCGTGGCATCTACTCCATAAAATTACTGTGATATATTGCACAAGAAAGTGAAACTATAAAATCCAGTGGAAATATGGGGCATAGGAAGGTGAGAGCTAGAGAGAGCTTGATGCTAAAGTGAAGAGTTGGAATGAATTTGCAATGGCTTGAAGAGATTGGAAATCTTGTTTGTACTTCTGCCCAGAGATTGTACAAATGTCCTCGAAGTGCTGGCTTTATACCCCGGTGAAAGACATTGTCAAAGGGGTGTGCTTCCTATGTGAATCTCTTTGAAAGTTTAGGTTGGAAAGGTGAATTCTTTCCCATAAGATACAGAGAAAGCTGCTGGGGAGGTTATTTTGGTATCCCTTTCTTAAATGCTAGATGGGAAGCCATTACTACCTCTTTAGAGGAAAGCAGAAGTATGTTTGAATTTGTAGAAAAAGTGGTGAGTAGTGAATTGTTTGGTGGATTTAATAGAAAGAAAAATACTATTTTAAAAGTATTTTCTTTTTATTTATACATTCACTTAATTTGACCAAAGAGAGACACAGAGAGAGGAAGTATGAAAGTAAGCCACCAGGTCAGGGACTAGAACCATGACTGATCATGTGGGAGTGTCCAGCACTTCAACCACCATGCCACCTACTAGGCACCTCTTTTTTAAGTTTTTAAAAGTTTGCTGTAGGACACATGTGTTCACAGGAGAGAGACGAGGGCAGGGGGAAGTGAAAAATAACTCCCTGGGAGAGATGGCCATACTGCAATCCCATCTCCTCCATTCTTCTCTCAGGATTTTGGGCACATATGCCCACACACCCAGGGTGATTTTCAAGCCACCAGGTCTAGGACTTGAACCAGAGAGTTGGTCATGTGGGGTCCAGCTGCCTTAAACACTAAGCCACCTACTTGTCCCAAAGTCTATTTTTTTAGAAGTCATCATTGTGCCTTGAGTGCCTTATTTGGGTCTAAGCCTGTGCATTGTTACGAGAAAGACACAAAGGTATGTTTGTTACCAGGTCCTCAAGCATGAGAGGTTTCCTTCTCATTGGTAATAGACAATTATACAGGTTATCAGATTTAAATCCAAATTGTGCTGGAAGAAAAAAATTATTGTGAGATTTCGTAGAAGAAAGAGATCCATGTGGGTAATAGGGAGCCATTAGCCATTTGTTGAATCAAATTATGGATGTGAGTATTTGGGTTGTTAGAAAGACAGGTTGTTATAGGTAGGGATAAACTATGGGTTGAGCACAAAACTTTGGGGAGAATATGCGAGCCTTGGCTGGAGAAAAGAATCAAATTTGGTTGATGATAAAGGCAAAAGTAGATAATTTTCAGAGTACTTTGTCAGCCCCAAGGATATAGGTTTTATGCAGATGGATTGTGGACCATCCTTACGTGCTCATTGAATCCACAGAGGTGGGAACCACGCTGGTCTTCAGTGCATGTGTGCATGTGTGTGTGTGTGTGTGTGTGTGTGTGTGTGTGTGTGTGTGTCCTGCAGCCTTTGCTTGGTGTTTATATTTGGAGCTACCATTGCATGGTGCCACCTTTGAGAGCTTCTCTTTTTCCTGGTGTCTAATGACTAAGGAGAGACGAGGCTGGGTCATCACCCAACACCTTATGACGCAGTGAGCTCACTATTTCCTGTTCCCATCTGAGGGGTGGCCAATAGAAGGAACCATGTCAGCAGAAGCCGGTACATGGGGACCAGAGGATACCACAGATGTGGGGCATACGTTTCTGTAGAAAGCCAGCCACATACTTAGTGGGCAAAATATTCAAGTCATCTGGCAGTTAGATAAAGGAGAATTTCAGTGGAACAGCAGCTATGGCCTGGTGACCCAAGAACAGGTCTAGGAATTAGGAGCTTACTCCTAGACCCTGTGCAGTTTTCCCTAACCTACTTCACTGGCCAATCCTTGTATTGAATGTATAGTCTAACCTAAAAACTCAGCAAAAAAAAATCAGTCTCAACTCAAATCTCATCATTTGTCCAGGTTTCTGTGCCAGTAGAACACTATTTGGGTGACATCCTTCAAAAGAGAGGCCACTTGAAAAGGGGTGGCTGGAGGTGTGCTCCTTCCTACTCACTGAGAGGCGACTATGATATAGACCAGGCACTGCAGACTCAGGAGCAGGGAGCCCTCGTTGATGTTGACAGGGACCCCTTCCTTCTCTAGTGATGAGTAGGATTTTGTCACGCTTTCTGTGGGATGTTCAGATAGATAGAGTGACCATCCTCATGTGTTCATTGAGCTGACAGAAACGAGGAGCACTGGGGGTCCCTTGGGTTGTCAGGCCAATGGCTAGAGCTGAATCTTGAGAGCGATTCTTTTTCTCTGGAAGAATACAATTACTTGTTGGGAGACTGGTGCCAAGAAATAAATCTGCTTTATAAAACACACACAAAATACCAACTTCATTAAAGTATAATTTACACGCCAGAAAATGCACTCATTTTAATAATTCAGTGATTTTTTTTTTCTTAGTGCATTTTTGGAATCGTAAAAACACAGCGCAGTTTGGGGATGTTTTCATCTCCCGAAAAACTCCAGAGTGCCTGTTGTGTTCGATTGCTTTTCCCACCCTCAGCCCCAAACCACCAATAATCTGCTGTATTGTTGCTAATAGATTTGTCTATTTAAGATACTTCAAATAAATGGAATAGAAAACATGTGGCCTTTTGCATCTGGCTTCTTTCATTTAGCATAATGTTTTTGAGGTTCCTGCATGTTGGTGCATGTGTCCCTATTCCATTTTTCTTTATTCGTGTGTTGTATTGCATGGTGCGAACCCATCTATCATTTAAGAAAGGGATACTAAAATAACCTCCCCAGCAGCTTCCTCTGTATCATATGGGAAAGAATTTACCTTCCCAACCTAAACTGTCGTATTTTATCTATCCACTCATCAGTGGGTGGACCGTTTCTATGTCTTGTCTATTGTGAATAATGCTTCTGTATTGGTTTCTCGTGGCTGCTGTAACAAATTACCACACACTTGGTGGCTTAAACAACAGGAATTTATTCTCTCATGCTTCTGGAGGTCAGAATTCTGAAATCAAGGTGTGGACAGGGCTGTGCTTCCTCTGGAGGCTCTTGAGAAATTGCCTTTCTTTCCTCTTCCAAGCTCTGATGGTTGCTGGCAATCCTTAACTTGAGATCATATCGCTCTAATTGCAGCCTCTGTTTTTATATCTCCTTTTCTTTAGTTTCTCAAAACTGTCTGGGGAGGCCAGTGACACCCTGCAAAGTAATCTCACATGGGACAGTTCCTGGTAAATGGAGACCTCCCTGCATATATTGGGCACTCACGTGCCCATGATCCAGTGTGGCCAAAGGCTGAGGTGGTCATAGTGTCTAGACCTTGTGGGGGTGCTCTTTCTCTCTTGCAGAAGAAATAAATAAACAGACTTAAAAAAAAAAATAAAACAATCAAACTTAACTCTGGCTCTCTCATGTAAGGATAAGTGTGATTACATTTTGGACCCACCTTGCTTATTTAGTAGAAGTGGTTCCTCTTAAGACCTTGAAATTAATCAACCCTTTTGCCATGTAAGGTCACCTACAGGGGTTCCAAGAACTTCATGCGGATGTCTTTTGGGAAGCCATTTTTTGGCCCACCACAGCAGCTATAAACATGCCTGTAAGGTTTTTATGTAGACATGTGGTTTCATTTCTCCTTGCAGATACTTAGGAGTGGAGTTGCTAGATCCTATGGTAAATTTATGTTTAACTTTTTAGGAAACTGCTGAATTCTTTTCTGAGGGGGCTGTATTATTTTACCTTCTTCCCAGTAAGGTATGAGAACTCTGGTTTCTCCGCATTCTTTTTAATTGTCCGCCCATTTTTTTTTTTTTTTTTTTTTTTTGTAGAGGTTTTTGCTATAGGACGCGTGCGCTTGCCAGACAAAGAGAGAGAGACATAGAGACAGAAAGCGAGAAATCACCCCCCAGGGGGGATGGTCACGCCGCAATCCCTTCTCCATTCTCCTCTCGGGATCTTGAGCATGCACACGCATGCACCCAGCGTGAGTTCCAAGCCACTGTGTCCGGGACGCGAACCGCGGTCAACTACGTGGGAGTCCAGCGTCATAGCTATTACACTAACTGCTGGTTCCCAATTGTCTGCCCTTTTTAAATAGCCATTCTAGTGGGTGTGAAGTGGTATCTCACTGTGCTTTTAATTTGCATTTCCCTGATGGCTAATAATGTTATACATCTTTTTACAAGTTTATTAGCCATTCATATATAATTTAGGGGGAAATATCTCTTCAAAGCCCTTGCTGGTCTTCACATGGGTTGTCTTCTTTCTGGGTAATGAGCTACTTTACTGGTTTTCACACCCTAGCCCAGACATTGCCTGCCCCAAGGACTGTGGTAACTGAGGCCACCTTATCAGAAAGCATGGGGACAACCCTGTTTCCCAAGTCCCTAGAACTGGGACAGGGTGCCATCTTTGCCTTACCATCCATGTTAATCATTACTGAAAGGTAGAAAGGACTCACAAGTGACCTTGTGCCCACCAAATACTATACTGGGGAAGCCAAGCGATGGCTCCTCTATAGCCTAGAGGTCATATGCTCAGTGGTGTTGTAGGTTTTCTGTTACCTGATGACCGTCAGGACCCCACAGTATATATTCTCCTTAGAGCCTGGTTTATTCTTTCACAATGCTTATTATAATTTAATTACATAGTTATTTCCATGATTATATATTTAATGTCATTCTCCCTTCTTACTAGACTATTAAATTCCTGGGGATAGGGACCATGCCTGTGTGTTTTGTCACCATGTCACCAGTTGCTCACACACCCCGTAGGATACATAGTAGACAACCGATGAACGTTTACTGGGTGGAGGAGATAGGAGTTTATCCTCCACTTTAGGATGGGTTCTTCCCATGAAATCATGAAAGGGAGGGTGGTTGGGTAAATCATTTGCTAACCCCTGAGAGGTGCCCTGGATGGCATGTGTTCTGACTCCCCTCTTTTACTCTCATTTCCAGCGATCTATAACTACAATGCTTCTCAAGATGTGGAGCTCTCCTTGCAGATCGGCGACACTGTGCACATCCTGGAGATGTACGAGGGTAAGTCTGGATGGCCTCTGCCAGACTGGGGTGAAGGAAGAGACAGTGGAAGTAACTTATTCATAAAACACTTTGAGTAAATGCCAGCATGCTTCCCGAAGCAGTAAACATTCAGGAAGCACTTAGGTGATACAGTTTTGTACTGGGAGTGATTTCAAAGCAGCCAGCCCAGCTGAATCCACGAGTGCAGACATGCACAGACACCAGAGTGGAAGCACCTGGCCGCGTGCAGGGTGCTGCTGACCCCCAGCTGCCAGATCAGCCGCAGGGCAGGCTCGCGAGGAGATTCTTGGGACGTTGGGCTGGCAGTTCTCGACTCAACGCTGAAGGTTGGCACACTTGGGGACAAATGAGAGAGAGGCTTTCTGATTGTTGCTGAGGTTCTGTCAGAGAATTAGGTCAGGACTGTGTCAGATACAAAAGGCCTGCCCATGTATTTCCTCCAGCCAGGCCCCACTGTAGTTAAACGGTGAGTGAGCTGTAGGGCAATACTTAGGGACAGCCTGTTTGTCTGCACTACCCTGCCCCACTTCACCCCAGGCTTCTAGCTTCAACTCAAGTTCTCTTAAGTCCTAGAAGGAAGCCCCCTCCATTTATCACATTGCTTTTTTTCCTTAGGGCACATGTGCTCAGAGAGAACGGTGGGAGGGAAAGTGAGAAAATACCCCCCTCGGGGGATAACTACACTGTAGTCCCTTCTCCTCCATTTCCCCCCCAGGATCTTGGGCGCACACATGCCCAGCATGAGTTTCAAGCCACTGGGTATTGGACTCAAACCATGGTTGGCCATGTGGGAGTCCAATGATGTAACCACCATGCCATGGCCCCAATCACATTTCCAATCAAAACTCCCACAGCACCACAAAAGTGTATTCAGTCAAAGAAGTTGAGTATCAAAGCACAGAACAACCTTAAAGTTGGGGTAGGAAGGAGGTGGGAAGCTGGGCAGACTTTTCTCTTAGAATGAGGCTTGTTAGAACAGGAACTCTGCATTTGCAGGCTCTGACTCCACCCCTTTCCCTTATAGAAGTTTATGAGGGCGGAATGGCAAAGATGGTCATCTAGAATCCCATGCGGGTTCCTAGGATAGGACAGGATGTTACAGGTTGAGAAAGATGAATTGGGAAACCAGGAGGAAAGAAAGAACGGCAGAAACGTTAAGTCATCTGCCCGGTTGCACAAAAGACTGCCCTTACTCCTGCCTTCCTTCAGATTTTGGTAGAGGGCTGGAGTTTTGCACTATCTTTTTCCCATCTATGCAATTCAGTGTAATCGTATAGTTCCCCGAGGCAGCGAGAAGACAGAGAGGGCTACGTGAACTCTTCCCATTCCATTTTCTCACTACCACTCTCCTCCTTACCATTCCAGGCCCAGATAAACATCAGTGCTTACTTACCAAGACACTAGGGACAATCAGCTTCTCTTTGAGGACTCCTTTGCTTGTGAAACCGGTCCCCTCAAACCTCGTGAGGTCCTAGTCTTTGTTGGGGGCAGGACAGATGAATCCACCCTGTTTAGTCTATTTGGATTCAGGCGTTCCCATTATGCAGATAAAAATCACATGTTCCATTTCTGTAACTCTTCCATGTGGACTCGGAAAGAATGTATATATAAGGATCTTTGGGGATGAAAATGATCATTAGCTTCCAATTTCTTACTGATTGTTTTCAAATGTTTTTGTATGGTAACTTCTTTCCCCATTTACTACTACTGATGGAACTATGTTAAGTCTTTTGCCATGGCTGTGTTTTTTCTACGTCTCTTTACAGTAATAGCAGTTGTTTGCTTTATACATTCTGGGTCCTCTTTTTAGGTGCCTACCGTTTTAGAATTGTTGTGTTAAACAATTCCAACTTTTAATTTCTGTTAGCCTTTATCATTATCTTCATCTGTAGTAATGCTTTATGCCTAATTCTTTTTGTGTGAAATTATAACCAACTCACTAAATGTCCCTGGTCTCTGATTTTTTGTCCTCCTGGCTTCATAGGGCTGCCAGTAGTACTGCTCAGCTTCTCAAGACACTTAAGAATCTTGCCTTAAATCAGAAATCTCCTAGAAGGGGATCGCTGGACTCCCATGTAGTCAACCATGGTTCAAGTCTCAGACCCGGTGGCTTAAACTCAAATCAGGCATGTGTGCATGCATGCTCAAGATCCTGAGAAGAGAATGAAAGGGAAGGGATTGTGGTATGGCCATCTCCCTTGGGGGAGGGGGCTGATTTCTTGCTTTCTGTCTTTCTGGTGAATGCACATGCCCCATAGCAACCCCCCACCCCCCCAAAAAAAAAGATAAAGAAATTGCCTAGAAGGGATAGCAGCTCCAAATGCTGGGCTGTCTTTGGGGTTTTGGTCTTTTTCCAATCTTGATCTGCTAATTTTTCAGTGCCATCTTAACTCTTGTATGCGTGCACACACTAGGGTGTTTCATAAAGCTTTTCTAATTGTCCTGCAGAATTTGGGAGTAAAAAGTAGAGAGTTGATCCACCTTAAAGTAGATGAAGTCTTTTTGTTGTTGTTGAAAGTTTTTGTCATGAGTGCATTCACCAGAAAGAGACAAAGACAGTGAGAAAGTGAGAAATCACCTCCCCCAGAGGGGACAGCCTCCCCCTATCCCCTCTTCATTCTCCTCCTGGGATTTTGGGCTTGCACACATGCCTGGTGTGATTTTTCAATCCTCCAGGTCTGGGACATGAACCAAGGTCGGCCATGTGGGAGTTCAGCACCTTAGCCACCCCACCATTTTTTGGCCCCAAAGTATAAGCCTTTAAAATACATTCCTAAAATTATTTTTTTCATTTTTATGTGACTGCAGCATATTTTTTCAAGTAATTAAGAATTTTGTTTGGAGGTGGCAGGTGGTATGGTGGTTAAAGCACTGGACTCCCACATGGTCGACTGTGGTTTGAGTCCTGGACCTTGCGGCTTGCTTTCTCACTTTCTCTCTCTCTTTGTCTTTCTCTGGTCAAATAAAAAATAATAATAATAAATAAAATAATTTTTAAAAAGAATTTTGTTCTCGGGAGTCATATTATTTTAAGTATACCCACTATTTATACTTTAACAAGCAGTCTTCCTAGTCAGTCAACGAACGTTGCTAAAGGTAGCTCTAGGTAGGACCAAGCTAAGGCAGTCTCTGAGCTTAGTCGACTAAACAGAAACACAGACTCACAAACATACTCAGTTCAGATACCACAGACTTGAGTCTAGAACCCATAGAGCTTCTAGAATACTACAAGTCACACAACAGTAGGCTTACAGGAAGTGTTGTCTCAAATGACAATCCTACAAAAAACTTAGTTTTTCAATGTTGCATCTTCTGTGTGATGTAAATTGCTACCATATGGGGAGTCTTCAGAAGCTCATGGGAAATGCCCATTAGGAAACACCCGTGCATGCAGTTCAAAATTTTTGACCAATATGAACTGATGCCTGTAATTTCATTTTCCACAGACTTTTTGAAGTCCCCCACTTACAATATTTGCTGTGTCAGCCATAGAATTCTTTCATCTCACAGAAGAATGTCAGCGCCTGTTCTTTGGAATTAGTCACATGTCAAGGTGTGAATGGGGAGATTCAGAACATGAGCCCACATCAGGAAGTTACCAAGTTCATTAGCCGTCACGTGACATGTCAGCTTTACAGAGAGATTATGTGGGGTTATATTTGTAAAATAGTGCTTATTTTATGGGATTAATTAAAAAAAAAAAAAAAAAAAAAAAAACAGAACTTGCTTTGCCAGATGCCCAGAGATAGGTTCTCCTATCTGCTAAGTACTCAGAGTTCTTGGCTGGATTCTCAAATTCTTTTATTATTTTGGGCAGTTGAGGACTAAGCAGGGCAGGAGTGCTTTGCGAACATTAAACACAACGGAAATGCTGAGTAATAACTTGTGTTCTAGCCCTCCTCCCTCCTCCCCTCTTCGCTTTAAAAAATAAACCAAATGGTAACACCCACAGTACTGTCTGGCGGAATGTCAGGGTGAGGCTGGCACCGTTTCATGGCCTGGGGGGTTGCATTTTTCAGCTTCCTGTCAGAGCTGACTCCTGGGGCTCTCCCTCTGCACACTCTGCCCCACCTCGCCTTTGAGATACGTGCATACCAGATCCCTGTGTGCCTTTCCGGTGTGTACATAAGTTCACTCAGACATGAAAATTTCTCTGCCCACAACCCACAACTGAATACCACTGAGGACGCTGCGCTTTCCTGTCCTGTAGCCAAATGAATGCTTTCCCAAGAGTGGGAGCTCCTTCAAGGCCAAGCTGATTCTAGGATGTCCCACAAATACCAACATTTACAGTCCTCCAGCCCCTTATGTAAAACAGTGTGGTGTCTGCATATAGTGTATACTCATCCCTCTGTACTTTATATCTAGATTACTTGTGATACCTATACATACACGTGCTGTCTAAGTAGTTGTTACACTATATGTATTTTTTTTATGTCCGGGGACACATGCACTTGTCAGGGAGAAAGAGTGAGAAAGCAACCCTCCTCCCATGGGGTATGGCTATCACAATCCCTTCTCCCCCATCTCTTCATCCCCTCAGGATTTTGGGTACTCATTCACACACATGTACCTGGCATGCTTCTCAGTTCACTGGGTCTAAGACTTTGTCCACGTAGTTGGCCATGTGGGGTCCAGGCACCTCAAGCACCATGTCACTGGTTGACCAATACATTTTTTTAAAAATGTTATTGCACCAACTGGTGGTGTGGTATTTAAGGCATTGGACTCCTACATGACTGACTGCAGTTCGATTCTCAGACCTGGCGGCTGGCTTTCTCCCTCTCCCTCTCTGTCTCTCTCTCTCTGGTCAAATTGAAGAATAATAAATAAATGAATTTATTTATTTATTTATTATTTTGGGAGAGGTTTTTGCTATAGTGCGTGTGTGCTCACTGGAAAGACAGAGAAAAAGAGAGACAGAAAGCGAGAAATCACCCCCCAGCAGGGATGGCCACGCTGCAATCCCTTCTCCATTCTCTCAGGATCTTGGGCAT